TCTAGGGGTCTGAAAGAGTAGTTGAAGAGAGCAGTCAGATACAGGGGAGAATAAGGAATTGTTTGTTTGTTTAAAAATATTTTTACCCTGCCTTCTCCTTAAAAAGGACCCAAGGCCTCATCATTAAAAGACAATATTTATAGCTAAAAACAGTAAGTATATAAATACTTTAAAAACTGAAACAGATACCACCATTAAAAGACAGTAAACAAAAGCAAAACCGAAAACACATTCAAAGCAGCAAGGAACTTGCTTTTTTCCCATTTAAAAACTCAGGCAGGCAGTCACTAAGAGAAAGTTTGTGTGAAGAGAAAGGTTGTTGCCTGTTTGTGGAAGGACAGCAAAGATGGGGCCAGCCTGGCCTCCTGTGGAAGGTTGTTCCAAAGTCTAGGAGCAGCGACAGAGAAGGGCCACTCCTGTGTCCCTGCCAAATACACCTGTGAAGGTGGGGGGGGGCCCAAGAGAAAGACCTCTCCTGATGATCTTAACACTTGGGCAGGCTCATGGTAGGATTCACAGACCTTGAGATAGCTTGGAACCAAGCCATTTAGGACTTTTAGGTTAGAACCAGTACTTTGAATTGTGCCCAGAAATGGATTGGCAACCAATCAAGATGTTGTAACCAGGTTGGGGGGGGGGAATATGTGATCCCTGTGACCAGCCCCAATCAACAATCTGGCAGCCATGTTTTGGACCCTCTGGAGTTTCTGAACACTTTTTCCAGAGGTAGCCCTACATAGAGCATGTTACAGCAATTCAGCCATGATGCAATTAAGGCATGTGTCATTGTGGCTAGATCAGATCTCTTCAGAACAAGTACAACTGGTGCACTAGTTTTACCTGTGCAAAGACACTCCTGGCCACTTCCAAAACCTGGGCATCCAGATTCAGAGACAAATCTAGGATCACCCCAAGGTGTGTGTCACTATTTTTAGAGGGAGTGCTACCCCATCTAGCACAGGCTGCATCACTATTCCTTAATCTGCTTTTTCACTGACAAGGAACACCTCCATATTGTCTAAATTAAGTTTGTTTATTTGCCCTCAGATGGCAAGGAAAGATAGAATTGGATATCATCTGTGTACTGGTGACACCAAACCCCCAAATTTTGGACGTCTCACATCAGTTTTGGGTAGATGTCAAATAACAGAGGAAAGAAAACAGAACCCTAAGGGACCCCACAGGCCAGCAGTTGGGGTGTTGAACAGGATTCCCACAATCGGTGAGTTCTCTCCTCTAGGAACAACCAGAGTCACTGTAAAACAGTGCCTCTTAAGTCCCATCGCAGAGAGATGATCCAGAAGGATACCATGGCTGATGATAATCAAAGCTGCTGAGATGTCCAGCACAGCCAACAAGGACACACTCCCCTTGTCCAGTTTCCAGTGTAGGTCATCCACCAAGGTAGTCTCTGTCCCATAACCAGGCCCAAAGGCGTATTGAAATGGAGCTAGATACTTCATATCATCCAGGAACCTCTGAAACTGAGATGCCACAGCCCAGTCCAGCACCTTGCCCAAGAATGGAATATTAGAGACAAGTCAGTAATGATTGTGGGATCTAAGGAGGGCTTTTTCCACAATGGTCTTGCTATTACCTCCTTTAAGCATGCTGGGAAGGAGTCATTCACCACTCCTCATGCCAACATTCTTTTAACACTGTTATTTTAATAAAAGCGTATTGTTTCTATTCAAGTTGAGTGGTGCCAAATTCAATACCTGGCTGGCTGGCTGTGTGAAGAGTAAGGGCCTGAGTGAAGAGACAAATATGCACCAAATAGGGCCAACTGCAGATTGGTGAAGAAAAAAGGTTGAAGAAAAAAATGCCTAAGCAGAATTGTAGCTAGACATTAGGAAGACAAAAGTAATAACTACCTAAGAATTACATAATTTTATTTTTGTGAAGCTTTGCATTGGCTGCCCGTTCATTTCCGTGCCGATTTCAAAGTTTTAATGATTATGTATAAAGCCTTAAACGGTTTAGGGCCTCGATATCTGGCGGAACGCTTCCTCCCACCTAAACCTACCCGTATCACTCAATCTAGTCAGGATGTGCAACTGAGGAGCCTAACGCTGAGGGAGGCCCAGAAGGAAAAAACAAGAAACCGGGCCTTCTTGGCAGTGGCTCCTCGTCTTTGGAATAACCTCCCTACAGTATGGCCCCCTCGCTGGGTATTTTTGAAAAGCAATTGAAAACTTGGCTGTTTAGGCAGACCTTCCCTCCAGGCACTACTTGATTTATTTTTTTCTCTTTTCCATTTTGAATGGTTGTTTATTGTTATTGAAAATCACTGTTACTTTTAAATTGTTTTATTTACTTGCTGGCAGCCGCCCAGAGTAGTCTATGACTAGATGGGCGGGGTATAAGTAAAATAAATAAATAAAATAAATGTTGGCCATGAATATAGTGAAATAGATTTTCTGTACCTTGGTTCAATCATCAATTAAAGTGGGGACTGCAGCCAAAAATTAAATAGAATATAGAAATTTGGAAGGATGTCTATGAAGTAACTGGGAATTATACTTAAGTATAAGAATGTGTTGAAGACTAGGGCCACGATCATTCATACTGTGGTATTCCAAATTGCTGTTTATGAATATAAGTTGTGCAGGTGCTCTTAGAGACATCTTATTCATGTTCTTTGATGGTACAGTTGATAGAATTTGTTTTGATCACAACAGCTGAAAGAAAAACACTTGACCAGTCAGCAGTCCACTTTATGCTTTGGAACAGGCAAAGTCTGACATGCACCAGAGATACTATATCTTCTGAGAAGAGGCTTTTTAAAGAGTGTATGCATCCTTGCATGCCTGTTCAAAAACAATGTTCAGCTCGTTGTCCAACTCACTGTTCTTTGGGCAAGGTCTTTTTTTTTTGTCCTCCTGAGCATTTATACTGTGAGAATGAAGGAAAAGTGAGAAGGAGAGAAGATTATGCTAAAGATTATTTATTTTAATCAAAAATGCTGGAGCTAGAACTTTGCTGTTAAGCTACTTCAGTTTTTCTGTCTAGATGTTGAAGACTGTATCACTGTCAGTACTAGTAGTTGCTGTTATTCTCTAGAATTTCCAAGACCATTTCAGATTGACTCATCAATCTCATGAGAGGTGCATATGTAGTGTAATCCAAATACAGTAGGACAGACATATCCATGGGATCAGTATCCACATTTTCATTTATGCACGACCTGAAAATATTAAATTAAAAAGCCCAGAAATACATATTTCCAAGGTGTATTACCAGTACTGGCCACTGGAGGGCACCAGAGACTATATAATTTTGCATACCTCTTATTATTTTATTCTTATGGAAAGGAATAAGATGCTGTGCAGAACACTAGAGTCTGTCCTAGCCATTTATAATTAAGTATCTGCTTGTCTGGTTCGCAGTCAGCCTGCATGGACTTTCTAGCATTCCCTTTTTACCGTGAACACATCTCTGTCTTGATACTGTATGTGTACATATTTGTGTGAGTTTTTAGCATGTCTGCAGAACTGTGGTACACATTCAGCCTGCATGGAGTGTAGTCCTTTTTTTTCAGGTGCATTCAAAAATGGCTTTGCCATATCTGAAGAAGTGGGCTACACTCCACTAAAACTCATGACAGATGAAACTTGTTAATTTTTGATGTGCAACAAAACTCTTTTGTTAACTTGGTAGTTAATCTACAGGAAAGAGAATGTGCATTACAAGATGAATAGTCATGCCACACAAATGTAATTCAGCACTATAAAATGCTTTTAACTGGGCAGAATCAAAGTTAGACATGAAAGTTGCTATGATCAGAACTTTGCTCTTAGATTGCTCCTGTTCCTTTGTCAGTTTACCCAGTGCCTCCTAAATCTCTTCCAGAGTTTGAGATATTAATTAATACTTTATTACGATCAACAGATCAGATGTGAATAACACAGAACAACCGCACAAGAATAAACAGAATCAATACAACTATAATATACATTATGTATCACTTCTCGGCCTTTTGGCTAAGGTCGAGTGTAATATACATTATGTGCGGGAGACTCTTAGGGAAACAAATTCCATAAATAATTGTTAGGAGCATACCCCTACCCCCAATTGATACATATTCATATATGCATACATACATGTATATATATAGAGGATTAAGGCACCATTTCTCACCTGCACACTAGTGCTGCTGCACAGAAACTGGCACTTTAATTGTTACTGATGGACACTGGTCTGCCAGCAGATAACATGTATAGTACTCATCATCTCTTCCGGGGATGCTTTGCAAAATTGGACGAATAAAAGTGTCATGGGAACCAATGTAGAAGGAGCAATACAACAGAACATGGCAACCGTCTCCACCACACCAGCCTCAGAAGGACATAAGCGCTCTTCATAGGGAATGTTCTTGTATCTGCCTTCCAGCAGGACTGAAGGAAGTACATTAAACTTTGCTAATGTAAAAGCTTTTCTATATTTTGGAAGGGTCAGAATATTCAATTAGCTTGCAGGTAAAAATGCCTGACCATAATCTCTAAAGCCAGGATGGGTCATAGCTATGCTGACATGGTGTTGCAGCTCATTGTCTGTGATGCGCTGGTGTAGTTCCTGTTTTGCTTTTGTATGGCCCATTAACAAAATAGCACTTCTCGAGAGGCCCAAATTATTTAATTTCTCATTCATAGATCTTCTCCATCTGGACTGAAACTTATCAGATATCTTTTGAAACAAAATGGGGGATTGTGCTCAGGCTATAGAGGGAAGGAGGAAATTAACAGAAATTGTTTCTCTTCCCTTCTCCCAGCAAGAGGGTTCCTTGGATTGGAGTTATTTCCATGAATGGAAGAAATCCATTCATGCAAAGAAGAGCGATTCAGGATCCAAGACAATTATAGCAAGAACAAAAGCTCTGATCCAGCACAGTCTCTCATATATAAAAATACATGAAAGTAAAATTAAAATAAACAACTGAGAACACAACTTGGTATTCTTGTACTATTAAAGGACCCCAGTAACTGTATACAGGTTTAGAGATGGGCACAAAGGTAAAAACTAATTAGGAAGTTCATCAAAAATCATTAACTTGTTGATTCGGATCAGTTCATACTGGTCCAAATTGGAAAACTTAAACTTTTCCAAACCAATGAATTTAGGCGGTTTCCAAACTCCTCTTTTTTGCCCCCCCCCCAGCCTGCCTCCCTCCCATCACTTCCCTACGTTGTCCTTGAGCTGCTGCCACCACCTTTTGAGACAGCAGCCTGGTTTCCTCTCTGGGAACCTAGCCATCCATCTGTGTGCATTTGCCAGCTTATCAGCTGAGAAGACGACGCAGGCGCAGAGGCCTCACCTAGCAAGGAGCCAGCCTGGCTCAGCTGGGAGGCAGAGTATTTTTTTTCCTTCCAAGACAGCCCCAGGGACTCTTAAAAGAACACACACATAGAGAGAGTGAGCCCGGCCAGCTCAGTGTTTTTTCTTTGGGGGGGTATTGTTTTTTGTTTTGAGAAGCTGACTCCTCACTGGCTACTTCTGCATATATGCCTGCCTGTCAGCTGAGAGGCAGGCGCATACCCAGGGATGGTAAGCCTGGCTCCAAGGGAGGGAAGCTGTCTCCAAAGATGGCCGTGGCGGCGGAGGCAACAGGAAAAGGCAGGGAGTTGATGAAGCCAGTGGAAGTGTGCGGCATGGGATTTGTTTCTTTGTTTTTTAGACAGGCCATTGGGTTGGCTTAAAAAATTGTGCCAACTAACCAATGAACGAATTCATGATTCACCAGGAAAAACGTCAGAAATTCATTGTTCTTTGTTTGTCGACTTGCTGGTTTGTGCCTATCTCTATCCAGGAAGTTGCAATTATTGTTCAGTTTTATTTACTTAAAAAAGGGGTAGGCAATTGTAGTCCTTCAAATGCTTCTGTCCTACAACTCTTTGTTACCAACTATGCACATTAGGACTGCAGAAAATTGTAAAGAAAAAGAATCTTGAAAGGCTACAGATACCCTTCCTGACTTAGAGAAAAACCACTTTGATATTTCACATGTATAGACTATGTCTTCTTCATTCTTGCTTTTCAGGTAGAGCAGTCTAAAGTTCTAATTAAAGAAGGTGGTGTCCAGCTGCTTCTAACAATAGTAGACACACCAGGATTTGGCGATGCAGTGGATAATAGCAATTGGTAAGAAGGTTCTAATATTGGAATAGTGGCTTTTAACTTACAACATCTACATTTCTTTTACTAAAGTCTATTTTTTGTGTTTTCTTTGTCCCTATTACAAGTGTCAGATATTATACTAATATTTTTACAAATTTGGCTACAATGACTTTAGTTTTGTTTATTTGTTTTGCTTAGGTTTGATGTAAACAATTACTTGGCTGTTTATAGTATAAAGTGTGAAGCAGTTTGCCAGAATACAGTGATGTCATAAGATGAAATCTGTTACTTTGTCAAGAGTATTTCTTTGGTTACTCCAAGGGTTGTTGTTTTTCCCTCACTACTGTTAGTTGCACTCAGTCTGCCTTATTTGTGCATTAAGATTCCTTCTTCTACAGTGTTGTTTCTTTAATCTTTTAGATTAAATAATCTTTTATCTTTAACAGTAGGTAAAGGAATTAGGGAAAATGTCTTGCGCTTTTAGTCTGAACATCTTCTTAGCTTGTCCCATCACTTTCTACTTACTGTTGTCATTTGTGTTCTTGCCTCAACTATGATTTTTTAAATTTTCTCTGAGAAAGAGAGAGTGCATTCTTGTACAAGCATTAGAACTGATCTGCATTCGAACAGCAATGGCTGTAATAAGGGTAGATGTGAGGCAATAGTATATGCTAAGAGGAGAAGGAAATTCAGTGGAATGTGTAGGAAGGAGGAGTGTATGAACAGTTTTGCCAGTTCACTTGAGACCAGTAGCTATTCTGTCCTCTGGTGAGTAGCAGATTGTATGATGTAGTGATGCTTCTTATTTACTGATAGTGCCAAAAATCAGTTAACTGGAAATGATAGTCATCAGTTCACTTGAGACCAGTAGCTATTCTGTCTTCTGGTGCGTAGCAGATTGTATGATGTACAGTAGTGATGTTTCTTATTTACTGATAGTGCCAAAAATCATTTAACTGGAAATGATAGTCATTAGGCTAGCTACAGTTCTGGCAAACATTAAGTGTTAAATACTACATAATCCCTTTCATCATCCTTGTAGCAGCATATCAGCAATATTTGGACACATATCATATAATTCTGTCCTTCAGCTTGCTCAGGTACAGTAGTTGTTTGAACTTAAATGAATAATTTTTAAAAATGTGTATTTGTATATTCTAGCTGGCAGCCAGTTATTGACTACATTGACAGTAAATTTGAAGATTATCTAAATGCAGAATCACGTGTGAACAGACGTCAGATGCCAGACAACAGAGTGCAGTGTTGCTTATACTTCATTGCTCCCTCAGGACATGGGTCAGTAGCGGATGTAATTTACCATTCTCTTACTTCTCTTTAAAAGTCTTCAAGCACAGACATTAATCTTACAAATTATGATGTGTATCTAAATAGGAATTGCTGCTTTGGTTTAGTTCCTAAGTTCTTTCTCTGTCAAACTCTAGCAGAAGTTCTGTGTCCTAAATCTGGAGTAGGAGAATGTAAAGATTGTGTTTTAGATATTATTAATACATTTAGAATAAGCATCTTGGTTCTCTTAGTGCCACTTACCACTTAGCTTAGGTTTGCAGCCTTATTTCTGTCAGAAGGTATTCCAAAAGATTCATCCTTTTTCCCCCACTGCATGTTGAAGGAAAGATTGAGCACTTCAGTTTGTAATTAATACCATATACTGAACTTCACAGTGCCGTTAAGAGCGCCTTTTCTTTGTCTATCAACTTCATAAGGGTTCTGTTTGTGGGAAGGATTGAGTTGTAGTTGATCATGAGCCTTAAATATCATAACTAGAATTTGAAATAGAATCTCTCCCATCTGATTATATGGTAAGAATCAGTCTCTGTCGTAGTGTATATGAAGAAGGAAAAAGTGATCTTTAGATTGTAGTTATATAACAAAAAGATTCATAGAAAACACTGAAGAGTGATTACTGACAATGAAAATTATGCCTGTAACACTTACTGGTGAGCAACGCAAATGAGCAGATAGATCATCAACAAGTTCTCACATACATATACACTACACATTAACAAGAGTTGGATGTAATTGTTTTTCATTCATAACTTTATGCAACATTTAAACAAGAAGAGCATAGACTTAAAGTTTAAACTGAAGATTTCAGTCAGCATTTCCAGTAATGGATCATGCAAAAGGTTACCTGACTAGCACCAGCCAGAAGAAACTTCTTCCACCTTTGGCTGAATTTTCCTTGTTTGTCTCACTGTTGCTAATGTTTAAAGATTGTAATACTTCTCTGGTTGTATTCTGACACCTAGAACTCAAAATGATAGCTCTAATTCTGAATCTGAAATAAAGGACAACTTGGAAGAAGTTGGAGACAAAGAGCTGACCTCAGTCGTTACTCAGTGTTTTCTGAATATATTCGGAGCTCACAGTGTCTGCCAGTCTTCATTATCAGCCATATCTGGATTCAGTTTCATTTGCTTCTCTTGTGTCAAATCCACAAATTCCAATCTAAAAGTTGGCTTACCAAAATCTTCCTTTCTTGGAAATGTATCATACTATTTTTATTGATAATTGAAGATTATTTATTTATTTACAAATATTTTTGCATGACCTTTCTCCTTAAAATGGACCCAAGGCAGCGTACATCATTAAAAGACAGTATTTAAAGCTAACAGTGAGTATACTAAATACTAAAAAAATTCACACAAATACCATACTAAAAAAAACACAACAAAATAAAAGAAACATGAAAACACATTCAAAACAGTAACATAGAGGCATCTATTAAAAAAACCCTCTGGCAGCCAGTTGCTGAGGGAAAGCTTGCCTAAAGATAAAAAGAGGCATCTATTAAAAAAACCCTCTGGCACCTAGTTGCTAAGGGAATGCTTGCCTAAAGATAAATGTTTTTGCCTGCTTGCGGAAGAATAGTAAAGATGGAGCCCATCTGGCCTCCTGTGGGAGGTAGTTCCAAAGTCCGGGATCAGCAACAGAGAAGGCCGTCTCCTACAAAGTCTGGGATCAGCAACAGAGAAGGCCGTCTCCTGTGTACTCACTAAATGCATCTGTGAAGGTGGCGGGATTGAGAGAGAGGCTATATAGTAGCCTAATCACTGCCAAAATATAAACATCCATCTGTTATACTTCTTTATGATAAGATTTATCTGCTCTCTTAAACATGAACTTGATCGTTTTTTCATGCTAATGGTGTGGTGATGGTGGTTAGATTTAAGAAAGAAATTGTTTTACCTGGATGCATTGTTTTCATTGCATTTGGCCTTGTTTTTTTATGATTCTCCTAATAAATGAGAGTACCGTATTTGCCGCCGTACAAGGCGACTGGCCGTATAAAACGACCCCCCCAACATTTCCACTCATAATATAGAGTGGACGGCTCTGCTGCGGCGGTGGTAGCCCAGGGCTCTGCCCAGGCCCGCCCTGGAAGTTCCTGGCCGGTGGGGAGGAGGGCGAGGAACAGCATACGTGCGCCAGCTGGCTCAAGCAGCGAGAGGGTGAAGAGGGGAAGGGGCTGGGTGGGCGGTGGGAGGAGGAGGAGGGGAAGCGGGCAGGTGGCGGTCGAGCGCACATGCGCCAGCTGGCTCAAGCAGCGAAAGGGCAAGGAAGAGGCTGGATGGGCGGTGGGAGGAGGAGGAGGAGGAAGAGGGGAAGCGGTCGGGTGGCGGGCAAGCGACTGCCTCCATCCCGACCGACTGCCTGCCTGCCCGCCTGCCTTCCTCCCCAGCGGCGGCTCCTTCCTGGCCCAAATGAAGTGCACCCGGCATACCAGATGACCCCCCCCACTTGGAGGCATTTTTTTTGGCCAAAAAAATTGTCTTGTACGCCGGCAAATACAGTACTGCATTCTAAGTAGCTTGAAACTGACCTTAGGAAGAAGCTCAGAATTCAAGGAACCAAGAGTAGAATATATTTAGTGATCCAGCTGCTGGAATTCAGGTCTCATCAATTTATGGGTCCCAGTTCTGGGAGAAAGGAGGCATATAAATGACATACAGTAAATAAATAATATTTACATGGTCTACAGTTTATAACACCTACAAACAGCATATCAGTGCACTATTTCTTTGTGTTCTCAGCAGTTGATACACAGAAGCACATTTTTGTGTGAGAGATGGGCAGTTATACGATACATATGCTTACACTAGAAAGCAACATAAGGGTGGGGTTTGGTCTTACTTTCTAGTTTGGAAATCATTGTCAAATGCTTCTGGCCACTCATATGGAATATGAAGAAATTGCCTGAATCTGTCTTGTTGTAAATTTAGGGCAGATATTGATGGAAATTACATAACCCAACTTAAGACTTTTTGAAGTAGATATCTGACATAGTTTATACATCTTATATATCCTCTTCCATAATGATACATTTTAAACCAATTGAATACCACTTCAAATGCTTCAAAGAAAAGCTATTTTAAAGTACAGTAAAGAAAATACGTCAAACACCCAGTAATATCAGGAAAAATGTCTTACTACTCTCCTATTTTACTAGATGCTGTAAGTAACTTGCTAGCCAGGATAAGAATATAGGATGCTTACAGGATTGGAGTATAGGGCCTGGCAGTCATTTCTTGTGAGGAATAACCCAATTGAGTTCATTGGAACTTATTTCCATATAAGAGGGCAGGATTACAATCTTTGCTGCAGAAATCAATCCAGATTCCTCAGATGAATAAAACTGTTTTCTTAAATTTCAGAACAGTGGGATTTCTGAATGCCTTCTAACTAAAAATTCCATCTTATTACTTTCTTATCTGTTTAGTTTAGAAAGCCATTTTTGCATTGTCCTCTGTTTATTATTACAATATTTTGAAATCAAGAATAAATCGAACTGTCCCTTTCCTATCTCCAGTAAAGAAGGGTTAAATGGGTAAGAGGGTTCAAGTGAGATTCCATAGATGCATGATTTAAACAAAAGCACAACACTCTGTTAGTGCCAACCATCCAGTCCGGCTGGGAGGGTGTGAGGTGAAATCCATGTTTGTAAGTGCATTAGACAGATGACATTGTATTCCAGAAGTTTGCTGATTGTTTAGGACATAAATAATTAGATCTGAAATGGTGTAACTTTCTTAACATAGATGTTCCATGTACTGATCTATACATCAGGTACTTGAGAATTACTTGTACTCTGCTAGCACCTTGTTATAACCATTTTGTTTGTTTGCTTGCTTTATGCAATCTGCTTCCACTTATTTTAGATCATCGCTGCACATTCCTTAGTCAATCAATTCCTAATTTTAGAATAAAACAACTATCAGTGAATACTGGGTAGAACAACTTTCTCAGCAGCAATAATTAAGCACTCCTTTTAAATAGTCTGCAGTTTAATATTAAATATAGCTTAGAGAAAAAAATCTCAGTTCTAGGCTAAATTACAATCATATGAAAAAAGAAAGTACACTCTTTGAATTCTATGGTTTTACGTATCAGGACATAATAAAAGTCATCTGTCCCTTAGCAGGTCTGAAAATTAAGTAAATACAACCTCGGATGAACAACACATGACATATTACACAGTGTCATGATTTATTTAACAAAAATAAAGCCAAATGGAGAAGCCATGTGTGAAAAACTAAGTATATCTTATGATTCCATAGCTTGTAGAACCATCTTTAACAGCGATAACTTGTTTTCTGTATGACTTTATCAGTCTCTCATATCATTGTGGAGGAATTTTGACCTAATTGTCTTTATAATGTTGCTTCAGTTCATTGAGGTTTGTGGGCAATTGTTTATGCACATCTTTCATAAGATCCCGCCATAGCATGTCAGTTGATTTGAAATCTGGACTTTGACTGGGCCATTGCAACATCTTGATTCTTTTCTTTTTCAGCCATTCTGTGTAGATTTGCTGGTGTGCTTGGGATCATTGTCCTGTCGCATGACCCAGTTATGGTCAAGCTGTAGTCAGGCAGATGGTCTCAAATTTGACTCTAGAATACTTTGCAACTTGGCAAACCTAAGCTGTGCTGACGTGTTCTTTTAGAGAGAAGAGGCGTAACCCTTCCAAACAAACCATATTTCTTCAGTCTTTTTCAAATTGTATTGTCATGAACTTTACCATTTCATATCCTGAGGCCTGTTGAGATGTAACTTTTGAGGTTTTTGCCATTTCCCTGAGCTTTGCGTGGTGAATTTGTTTAGATGTCCACTCCTGAGAAGATTAGCAACTGCATTGAATGCTTTCCACTTCTGAATAATCTTCCTCACTGTAGAATGATGGACTTTAAATTGTTTGGAAATGGCGTTATAACTCTTCCCACATTGATGGGCTGCAACAATTGCTTCTCTAAAATAATTGCTGATGTGTTTCCTCCTTGGCATTGTGTTAACACACACCTAAATGCTCCCAAGCAGCAAACTGCTAAAACTTTGGCTTTTATAGAGGTGGGCACACTTGCTAATGATCAATTACTCAAGGGCATGTGGTTAGCAGCACCTGGCTGCTACTTAGCTTCTTAATTCCTATGAAAACAGAAAGAATGTGCTTAGTTTTTTACACATGGCTTCTCTGTTTTGGCTTTATTTTTGTAAAATAAATCATGACATGGTGTTAATATGTCACATGTTGTTGTTGCATTTGAGTATGTACCTAATTTTCAGATCTGCTAAGGACCATATGATTTTTATTAATGTCTTGATATGTACAGTGGTGCCTCACTTGGCAATTACCTTGTTAGACAAGGAAATCGCTTGATGATTAGTTTTTTGTGATCGCTAAACGATGACTGAATGGGCTTTTTTTCGCTTAATGTTGATCTGTTCCCTGCTTCGGGAACCGATTTTTCGCTTAATGATGATCAAAAACAGCTGATCGTCGGGTTTCAAAATGGCCGCTCACTGTGCAAAATGGCTCCCCGCTGTGCTTTAGGACGGATTCCTCGCATTACAGGCACCGGAAAATGGCCGCCCTATGGAGGATCTTCGCTGGACGCTGAGGTATTTCGTCCATTGGAACGCATTGAACCGGTTTTCAATGCATTTCAATGGGTTTTTTCATTTCGCTTGATGAGGATTTCGCTTAACAGCGATTTGAACGGAACGAATTATCCGTGTCAAGTGAGGCAACACTGTAATGTAAAAAAAAAAAAAAAAGAATTCCAAGAAGGTGCACATTTTTTTTCCACATGACCATATATAAGGGGTTCACCGAAGGCAGCAAATCTTTCCCCTTTGCTTGCAGGAAGCCCAGTAGTTAGGCTTGTTTTCCCCTGACCGCTATTAGCATCCCAACAATTAAAGCTTACATATTAAATCTCCCATTATTTATTTAATAAGTCTTTATTATGGACATATTTTTCCTTTCCTCCAATAAGCCCAAGGTAGAATATAGTAAATAGTTCTTAATTTTTCCACTTCACCCTCTCATCAACCCTTAAAGGTAGGTCAGACAGCAGCTGCCCCAAAGTCATCAAATGAATTTTGTGACTCAGTGGGAATCCAAACCTGAATTTTCCAAGCCCCAGTTTGACATTCTTAAATACTACACACCACACTGGCTCTCATGCTATCATAATATAGCTGTCATAGCACTTTTCATGAGATATTCATCTATTAGTTGTTCTCTGCCAGTAAACGTTGGGTCATTGAATTCTGTGAGTTGTATGAAGCCGAGTTGCTTTTTTCAGTTCTGCCTATCGATTCTTGCCTTTAGTTCTTTATTCAGGTGTTGTTTTATAAAGCAAGTTTTCCTCTTATTACATAACCGTTTAACTTTGAAGAAGAACTTTAACAAAGGTTTTTTGAACATCTAGTTAAATGTTTACAAGATCATCCCTATATATAAATCAAAATGAAAACTATTTCCTTAAATTTGTCCTCAAATCCCAATCTATATGCTGTGTGTATATAATTTGGGTAGCTAGAAATGTAACATATAGTTCTTCATTTTGAAGAAAGGATTCAAAATTACAGTAATCCTTTTACATTGATGTATAAAAAGCCTGAAAGGAGATTTTTGAAACAACTTAGAGCAAGCATTAACTAGGCACCGATGTCTCATTGTGTACATTAAGTTATGCAGGTTTTTCAGTTTAGGTGTTCAGAATATTCGTTATTTTCTTTGAAAAGCTTTTGTACACCTTATTTTAACTGTTTTGTTTGGAAGCCCTGTTTGTAGAATCACACTTCTTGTTTCTTTTGTTAGACTTAAGCCTTTGGATATTGAGTTTATGAAGCGGCTTCATGAAAAAGTGAATATCATTCCACTTATTGCCAAAGCAGACACACTTACACCTGAAGAATGCCAACAGTTTAAAAAACAGGTGAATGGAAATTTTAATATTATATAAAATTGCTTTCTTCTTTATAATTATTCTACTTTCTTGTTCCAAAATGCAACTTCAGCACGTATTCCTCAGAATAATTCATAACACTTCAGCATGTGAATATGTATTTAGGGTGGTAGAAAGCGTCTTCCCTGAAGGCAAAAGGCATGAATAACGTAATGTAATTCCTGACAGGGAAGTGTGTTCACTGATCTTATCTCAACAGTGAAAATGTTCATTCTTCCCATGTAAGTTTTAAAAATGAATGCCAAAAATTTGCCAAGTGGAGGAAAAAAGCATTATCAAACTAAAGCAACCTAAAGTATGCTTGAGATGTTACAGCTTTTGTGCAGAGATGTTGAAGTTAGTGATTCTTATCTGTCCTTTTTTTCTAGTTAGTAATAGTTGATCACTACTGTAATGTTTACTCTGTAAACTGATGTACTTGTTGAAAATCAAACAGTGCATTTGATTGTGGTTTGTGCATGCAAGTCTGTCACTACCTGTAAGACAAGTTGGAAGCATTAAGTGTAAATCAGTTGCTTATCACTGACAGAAAATGGAATTACCTGTACACCCTTTGCCTCCAAATTTAGCTTCCATTGTAATTATATTTTAGCTTGCACTTAGTAATTAAATTTAATTAAATTTAGCTTGCAATTAAGGCTTAAACTGTCTGTATTACAAATGGAAAGCACTGATTATTTATTAGCCTTCTGCCTTATAAAGAGAAAGTAGAAAGTTGTGTTTTTCAGATCCTCAAAAACCATTGTGAAGAATATAATCAGCATTTCACAATTTGAACTGTGCCCTTTTCCCAGTGTCAAACTGCTAATAGTGGGGTCAGCAACAATCTGTAGCACTGCATCCTCACCCCTAAAAGAAATGTTTGTGTTCATTGCTATACACTTTTTGCTGTTCACGCCCTTATATGGGGACAATTTTAAGCATTCAGAAGGGGGCACATTTTCTCCATGGTCCCTCAAGCATTTCACTGCTGTGTTACAAAGGATTTGTCAAGCTAGAGGATTTAGGATTGAGGCATAATACAAACCCTGAACCTCAACTAGAGGACCACCTAGTTCAGTATTCTGTTCTCCTTACAGCTGGTAGATTGCCATTGAGCCAGCCACAGGCAGACCGTCATATTCCCCAGCAACACTGTCCAAGGTGAATAGAGATGACCACAAGCAGGCTTAAATAGAACTATGTTTGCATTCTTATCTTTTCAATTTGTTCATGAATGATTTGTCCTGTGTTTTGAGGTTGATGGATGGTCATTTAATAAAGCTTGGACTTCAGTGGCTTCTGTTATTGCTTGCACTTGGATGATGCTGTAGTATTATCTCTAACTTAGCTGAGCTAAAATGCCTATTGATGGCTTTTATAGCTTAATGTAGTGAGAATTTATTATCTATTTTAAAATTATGTTTTTTCTTAATAGTTTTCATTGGATGTTAAAGAATAATGTTCTAGGGCAAGTCACACATTTCAGATATTTTGGATATTTTTTTCTGGATAGTATTCGTTTGGTGCTGTTAACATGATTTAACTTAGCTAATTGAAGTATGTTGGTAGTTGTCAACTTTCTAATATTTCGGGGAGGTATCATGACCCTTTGATCTTGCAGTGGTGCCTTGACTTACAAACGTAATTGGTTCAGGAAGATGGGCGTAAGTCAAAATGATCATAAGTCGAAACACCATTTCCCATTGAAATGCAATTAATCCATTCTGGCGGGAGAAAAAAAATCACCAAAAAAATCAATGCAAGACTAATTGGAAACGCAATTAATCCCTTCCGGCTGAAGGGGGGGGGGATAAAAGCAATCAAGCGTGCAAGACCCATTGGAAATGCACAGAAAACAAAGGGACCAGGTCCGAAATGCACAGAGAACAAAGGGACCAGGTTGGAAATTCACAGAGAACAAAGGAAAAAGTAAGGGAAGCATGCAAGACCCATCAGAAATGGGGGAAAACCCCCCAAAGCAACCAAACTCCCCAAGACCTATCGGAAATGGGGTTGGGGAACCAATAAACAAACCCCCCAAGACCCATCAGAAATGGGAGAAAACACTCCAAAAAGCAACCAAACCCCCAAGACCCATCGGAAATGGGGGGAACCCCAAAGAAACAAAAACCCTGAGGACCCATCACAGCACAGGATATAACCCCCCCAGCCCAAAACCACGCTGCAAAAACACCCAGAACAGTTTTTTAAAAGCAGAAAACAGCACCTTACCTTACCTGGCAGCCTTCTCTAATTGCACACACGCTTGACTACTTGGGCAAAAGAGCTACAAAGAAGCAGCCTCGTTGCCACCTACAGTTAGAAAATTGAATTTCCTGCCTTTTTTCCTTGCCTTTTTCTGTTCGTAAGTGGAAGCTCCGGTTGCAAGTAGAAGCAAAATTTTGCGGCAGGAGCTGGTCGTAACTCGGAATGGTCGTAAGTAGGGACATTCATAAGTCAAGGCACCACTGTACTTGTATTTAAAGCTACACCCATTGCCCAGTTAATAGTATGATATTCCTGTTTGGAACAGTGCATTCAGTCAGAATGTAGAGAAAATCCAAGCATTTTTTCTGTCTCACATTTTGAGTGTCCCAGTTTTGTAGGAGATGCATGTGTACAGAGACTGCATTAGGCTTATTGGAAACTATAGGCTGACTCCAGACTGAAATGTTGGCTTTGCCTCTGTATTTACCTGTATACCTCTGTTATGTTCACCCAATGTTAATGTATTCTTTTATAAGTAAATTGCCTCTTTTAGCCCTGCATAAAATTAGTTCATTAGGCATCCAAATTGAATCTCTCCTAATGCTTGAATAGCAGTGAGCTTTTGGAGAATTTTCCCAAAGAGGATGCAGTATAAAGAGACAAAGGCTGAAATCCTATGCTGTAAATCATTAGCCAGAGCAATTTTTTAGAAATAAAAACATTCTGGTTCCCCACCACTGTCCCAATGCTTCCATAGAATCTCCATTGTCATGGGAAGCCCTTGGGGACTAGGATCAGGAGAACTCCGTAGTTGTCAAAAATTACCACCACAAACTCATCTTGGCTGCAGCAATTTTTAGAAATTAAAAACGCTCCCACCCATCATCAGTCTTATGCAGCATAGTTGAATGAATGGGATTTCAGCCAAAATCTATCAATTTTAGCAAATAGAACTTGCTCCTCTATCATAAAAGTTGTCTTACTGCCGTAAGGAGCATCTGAATGCTGTCTAGCAGCACTCTGAACCATTTAGGCAGGAAGTATACAAAATGTGTTTTGTTTTTAAATGTAGGCTGTCCTGGCATGAAATTGGGGGCTTCAGAAATGCTCGTGTATTATGTCCACCTCGGTGTTCTTTTAGACTGTAACCTGTATGAAGAACTAAAAGACTAAAATTATCTGCTTTGTATACATCAGGGTTATCCTGATGAGTGGCTTCTGGTGTGCCATCTATCACACCAGAATGGGTATGTTACTACCTAAGTTGCTAATTTTTTTCTCTGCTAAAATGCAAAAGCAGGTTCAGTTAATGAATAATGCTGAGGTGTTTTCTCCTGTCTTCTCATGTACTGTACATTGTTTGTGTTAAGTTCAGTTAATGATTTGTCCTGAATTTTGAAATAGATGCTATGAAGTACAGTGGATTCCAGCAGCAAAAGCTGCTCCATATTTTTGTTCCTTTCTCTGTGATCTTTTCTTCAGAGAAACCATAGGGTGTAATTCTCTAAAATGTTATACATGTGTAGTTTGTGTCTGGAGGAAAAGAGGTATGTTAGGAGAGGTCGGAAGAGAATGAGAGGAGACTAGGGTGCTGCAGGGCCTCTGAAGACTTCATGCAAGTTCATGGGCCATGGATTGTCCAATGCCTGATCTAATGCATAGATTAGGAGGGCTGCATAGTTAAGAATTCCTTGTGTAAAAATTACTGAGGAAATTTTACTGATAAGTTCATATTCATGTTAGTATGAAAAACACAAACAGATCTGTTTGATTTGTATTCTTGCATTGAATGGACGGTTGGGCTCAGTGGACTTATAGGCCCTTTGATTCTATTCTATATGCTAGGTTTCTAAAAAGATCATGTAAATGAAACACATATGAATTGTATACCTGTTCTGACTAATTTTGTGGTGCTTCTGTTTCAAGTATTGGCAGAGATTAGTGTGATTTATGTGTGTAAACAGAGACCAAAAAGCCTCCGTCATAAGCATGCCTAAATAATTATTTTAGTTTTCTAGTAACAATATTTTTATTTTCAGATAATGAAAGAAATCCAAGAGCACAAAATTAAAATATATGAATTCCCAGAAACAGATGATGAAGAAGAAAATAAGCTGGTTAAAAAGATAAAGGTACCTAATGTATCTTGAAGCAAAATGTTCACAAATGAATGTAACTAGCTTCGTATCCAGACCTTCATGGATGTCAGTGAAAGAAGCACAGAAGTCTATGAAAATGGGCTTCCTTTTTCACTTCAGTGGAAAGGGACCTTCATAAAGGAATGTAGAGCTCTCTGTTTTGAAGTTGGTGGGAAATACAGAAATATGATCTAATAAAGTACCTGTGTGTGCCAAAACTGCTGTGTCTTAAGTGTAGAAAGTTATGGAAGAGCAGCAGTGGCATTTCTTGGAACGAATCATCTTTGCAGTCCCCTCTGTATCTTCTTGAATAGAAAAGAAGCATTCACACTCTTACAATGGTATTTATTTTCTTGGAGAATTAATTGACTTGGTTAGCACTTTGAATGGGTTATATGGCTAATAAAATAAGTTTGCATGTCTGTGAAACTTTTCTGTGCCTATCGTTTCTGAAAAAGGTTTTTATTTTGCATATTTGCACATTTCAGAGGACCACTTCAAAATGTTTTGGGATTGATGTATGTAATATGGTAAACAGATTTATTTCTCTTAAACTTCATGACATTATTATTAGCTTTGGACAAAATGCCAGTCAGCAATCAGCAGTGAGCATTGGGCTCATTCACTGTCCCTCCTTCCAATGGAGCTTGCTGCTTCAGGGATAAGTTTGAAAGTGTTTGCTTCTATTGAAGATTTACCACAACTCTTGTTGCTAACCAAATACAAACTGTGGTTAGACTTAATTAGGGTTACTTGAAACAAGCACATTTCAAACAATGTCTGTTGTCCAACTTGTTTCCACTGAGATCAACTCCAGTTCAGGGTCATTAACCTAAAAAGGCAATAGAATTTTTAAAATTTTCTTTATATGAACGAGCAGCACATTACATGTTCACATAAACTTTGAAGTAAAAACAGTTCATACCTGATTTCTGATATCCAAAGGTTTGTGTACATTATATTTGTGTTCCTAATGTGAATTAAACCAAAAAAATGCCCATACGTAGCTAAAATATAATTCAGTGTTTTCCAATTTTATTTCTGTTAATTAATACATTAAAATATACTTCGTCAAATCAGAACCAATAGCACCCTCTGGTGGCTGATTCCAGAAATCCTCATATAGATGAATAGTCAAAGATACTTAACCTCCCATTCTTTAACTTATTTCTACATCCTCTCATTCACTAGTTTTGAAGGCATCTGTGTGTGCATACGCCCGTTCGCGCATGTGTGCGTCACTATCCTACGCATATGTGTGTTCTTAGGATAGTGATGGTAAATTATTCTATTATGTGATAATAGGATAAATGCCTTGTGGGCATTATTCAAATGTAAAACGTTTTGGAAATCCTAATAATAAAATTTAGAAAGGGCATGTGATCATTAATGCATTAAGCCCAGGATTATCTGCTCTTTAACTGTCAACAGTTTTGAAAGGTCTGAAGCAGATATTTTCCTCTGCTGTTTGTGATACTTTTTAACTAGAAGTCCTAATTATATCCATGCAGATAGATTGAACTTAAGACATTTTACATGCAAAGCTGCCTCAAACATAATGTTTCAGAAATTTCTTCTCTTGTTGGTACTTACCGTATTTTTCTGTTTATAACACCCCCCATTTATGACAAACAAGCCCCCCTTTCCAACCCCCAAATTAAGAAAACTTAGCTTTCAGTATTCAACCTCTGGGCTCAGAATATCGGACATTAGCTTTCAGTATTCAACCTCTGGGCTCAAAATGTCGGACATTACATCTGAGCCTAGAGGCTCCACCTCCAGTGAGGTGTGTTCTAGTTGGTTTGTTCATCATCAGCTGACGTCAATTCCATAAGGCTCATGACTGTGGGAAGATACGCCTCATGACTGAAGGAAGCCTGTTTACAGAGGCAAAGTATGTGCCATTTTGTTCTCTCCACAGCTATCTTAGCTTGTTGTTTAGCCATTAAGTCGTGTCTGACTCTTCGTGACCCCATGGACCAGAGCACGCCAGGCTCTCCTGTCTTCCACTGCCTTGGTAGCTTCGATGACACTGTCCAACCATCTCATCCTCTGTCGTCCCCTTCTCCTCTTGCCTTCACACTTTCCCAACATCAGGGGCTTATCCAGGAAGTCTTCTCTTCTTATGAGATCGCCAAAATATTGGAGCCTCAGCTTCAG